TTGTTAGCTAATATTATTTCCTTCTTGGGTCTCTGAGGGAGTTGAAGATTAGTTAGTTATAGTTGAAGATTAGTTAGTTATAGTTGAAGATTAATTAGGATAGAAAGTAAATTAGATACATTTTGGACTTACCAAAATAGGATAGATAATGGAAAAATTTTCTCTGACTTGTCAAATACAAATGGACTAGACATTGTTTAGGTATTTATTACTTGTATATATTATATATAGTTATTGTACTTTTGTATATAGCTTTTCTTTTGTTAGTTATAACCTTTTTCTATTTTATTAAAATAGAAAAGGGGAAATATGGTGGTATTCTATTTGTACTGAAATGTGATTTTAATTGTATGTCAATAAATAAAGTTGCCCGGGGGTCAGAGCTATTAGAGCCATAGAAAGAGCATGGTGGTGGTGGCACATGCCTTTAATCCCATATATCTCTGTGTGTTCAGGGATACAGCCAGCATTAGAGACATATGCCTTTATGACCTGGAGGGCTGTACTTACAGGCAGTGAAAAGGCAGTCATGTGTTTGGGTTTACAAACAATGAGAAGGCAGAACAGAAAGTCAATAAAAACACAGACACACAGGAATTAAGTCACCTTTTCAGGGGAAGGATAGCAGCGGCTGCGAGTGGTAAGAAGGTGGTCTTAGCTTTTGGCTACTGCTCTCTGATCTCTGAGCCTTTAACACTGAATTTGGCTCTGTGTTTCTTATTTAATAAGACCATTTAGAATTAGATCTACACTCTTATCTCTGGACTTTTAACTCTGCATTTGGCTCTGTGTTTCTAATTTAATAATACTGTTTAGGATTACACCTACAATAACTAGTTTTTTTAAATACAAAATAGCAAATGCCTCAATACAACAGTTATAAAATCATCTGCCTCATAAAATTTCCAGTTTTACAAGGAGCTCACCTATGAGGATTAGCCAGGTTGCCCCAGGAACACTCAAATTTCTAGGAACTTCTTATATTTTTGGTTGTGAGCCATCTGTCAGGCCTGACTCTAGCAATTTCTAAAGGCTCACAAGGCAGTAGAGGCCCCATGGAAAGTGTAAAGCAGATGGGAACCAGGAGGTATCTGAAAGGCACTTGGGTTCAAAGAAGGTTCTAGAGAGTAGCTTACAGGCTAAAAAATCAGAAGACAACCTAGTGGTGAGAAGGTCCTTAAAAAGGAAGGGCAGGTAGGTACTGCCTCACTTTCCCTGTATCAGAGGTTCACCTGTATGGCCAAGGTAAGCTGTTCCTGGGCTGTTCTCACGACTGCATCCCACGACTCTTGACTGCTACAGTGGAAGCAGTATGATCTCCTGGGCTCACAGTCATCTTTCATTCCAGTGGCAGGGAATCTGACATCCACTTCTGGCCTCTGTAGATACCAGAAATGCAAGTGACACATGGACTTACATGTAGGCAAAGAACAAACATAGGAAAATTCATATAAAAACTGCTATCTTCCAGTAAGAAATTTTCCAGCAAAAGAGTGGGGCAGGAGTGGCTATATGATGGTTTGGGCTATAAACATAAAGAGGCAACATTATAAAAATAAACACCAGGACTGCATGTATGGTTTTACTCACCAGAGTTAGAGACAAGGACACTCTTGGATTCTGGCTATGCTCAGTCTCTTGCTCACCTCATTCTTAATCCAGGGCCTCTATATTCACAGCAAACACCAAGCAGATCTTAAAAATCAAGCTGGCTAGGCAGGTCTAGTGCTGTGACAATGTGATGCATTTATTTTTCCCTACAAGGAGCATGTAACATGAATTGCTAAATGGTCTTATTAATAAAAACCCAGAACAAGATATTGGGGTAAAAGTTGAAAAATCAGAGAGGCAGAAAGCCAACCAGCCAGCAGTTCTTACCCCTATAAAATCCTCAGTCTCAAGAGAGTAAATTCCTCTTTCCTCAATTCTTATGTGTCCTGCAATATTACTTCCTGGGATTAAAGGAATGAGTCCTTCCCAAGTGAAGACATGAAATCTCAAATCCTCTGATTAAAGATGTGTGCTACCACTTTCTGGTATGTATGTCTAATCTAGTGCCTGGCTCTGTCCACGGATCCTCAGATAAGTTTATTAGGGTACACAAAATATTGAATTACACAGTATTGAATTACACAACCTGGACTTGGTGTCCTAAAAGAACATAATCCAGGACTGCAGTAAAACTTTATTCCTTATTTTGTGTTTTTCTAGACCTTCCTAGTACATTGTTACTGTTGTAGAAAAGTAATAATAACTTAACATCAACATACATAATGTGTCAAAACTTACATAGAACTGTAAATGTATCCTGCACTTAAGTAACCTGAACCCTAGCATCCTAATTATCAACCAAAGAATAGGAAACAACCATCCCAATGACTGTCTACATTTGAGAGCAGATTTCACATTTGCTGCAATACAGAATCATTAATTTAGACATTTCTTAGGAGAGAAAATAACATGAAGACAAAAGATATTTTACAGGGTTCATACGTGTAATCCCAGCTCTTAGAAGCAGCAGGATTACCCCAAGTGTTAGACCAGCCTGGTCTACATAGATCAATTCCGGGGAAGCTATCCAGCAAAGCTATCTCAAAAATATTAATTCATTAATTAAAAAATGAAAATCAGGGCAACTGTAATTGAGCTAAAATATTTCTAGGCTTTGTGACAAAAAGAAAGACACTTTTTTTAAATACAATCCACAAGGAAAGCTTGCATCTTGATTCAAAGATGGGATACATGAAACAAAAATATGCCTTAAGAACTAAGTCATCTAACTTCACAATTATCCCACTGTGAGAAAACCCACAAAAGAAGCAAAAATTAATACAAAATATTTACTAAGAAAAGGGCTTGATCTATTTACTAAAATCATACCCAAGAAGAAAAAATATTCAACTATCAAACGAGTATTTCTAAGGAAGGGAGCAGCTCAGTGGCAGAACAACAGCCCAGCGTGAACTCTGACTGGGTTTCACTCCCAACATGAAAATCATCTAGAATAATGGGGAATCTAAGATACATAAAATTATCATAATCATAAAAGCAAATAAGCTTTTTAAAATGAATGCTGAATAATAATGATGATTTAAAACTAATTTTAGCAAACAAAAATGATACAGATCTGAAAGGAAAACAAGATTATTTTTCAACTCTGAATCAAAACCTATGCAGTAAACAAAGAAACAACATTGCTACATTTTAAATGTTTAAATCATAAACTGGACAGTGGCCTGTGTGAAGGTAAGAGCATTAAGACAAGGCCTTCCTCAGGTGAATATGGAATTCAAGGCCACCATGGCCTATTAAGACCAGGTCTCAAAATAAGCAACTTTGGCCCCAAATTCTTAGTCCGCATCTGTTATTTTACTTTTTCAAAGCACAACAACATTTAGTGTTCATATAAAAAAGATCTTGATCTGGAGAATTGGCTCAGGAGTTAAGAGCATTGGTTGCTCTTCCAGAGGTCCTGAGTTCAATTCCCACAACCACATGGTGGCTTACAACTATCTGTAGTGAGATCTGGTGCCCTCTTCTGGGATAAAGACATACACACAGGCAGAACACTGTATACAGAATAAATAAATCTTAGATAAAAAAAATAAATTAAAAAAGTGCATCCAGGTGTGGTGGCACATACTTTAATGCCAGGGCTCTGGAGTGAGAGGCAAGCAGATCTCTGAGCTTGAAGCCTGCCTGCTGTACTCAGCAACTCCAGGCCCACTAGGGATACATATTGACACTGTTTCAATGAACCTGAAACCAAGGCCAAAGGCCAGACTTGCTGGTGTAAGCCTTCATTCCCAGCACATGGGAGGCAGAGACAGGAGGATGGATCTGGGAGTTCAAAGCCAGCCTGGTCTACATAGCAAGTTACATGATAGTCAGGGCTACATAGGGAGAATGTGTCCAAAAACAAAAACAATACAAAACAATGACTTTTTATGCTATTGCTGACATTCAAAATGATTTTTAAGGCAGTAATATTAAATGAAACAATAATTTATTCATGCTGTACACATAGTAGTCAGAATACTCCAAGTTTCATACTTTCCAAATATTAGCTTTATAGCTACCAGACCAGACTACAATTTCTTTGAGGTCAGAAATTTTCAGAACATGCAGTTATGTTATACCAACTACAATTAAAAAATTGAACAAAGAATCCAGTCCTGTGTAAACTTATTCACCATGCATATCCTAAGAGTTCTTTAAATACTAATACTGCTTTTAAAAGTGTGTGTGTGTGTGTGTGTGTGTGTGTGTGATGTGTATGTATTTATGTTTGTGTACATATCACTGTGTATTTCTGTGTTTGGGTGTGTGTGTGATGTATGTGTGTTTATTTGACATGTTTCTATTCAGTTTGTATGTATGTTCATAAGTTTCTGTGTGTATTTGTATGTGTGTATTTGTGTTTGTGTATGTGTATTTGTGTGTGTGGTATGTGTTTATGTGTGTGATATGTGTGCTTTTGTGTGTGCTTCATGTGTACTTATGTATATGTGTGTGAGAGAGGTGTGTGTGATGTCTGCGTCTGTTTGATGTGTGAGTATAGGTACATGCTATACCTCACGTGTAAAGTTCAATGGACAACTTTCAGGACGTGAATCTCTCTTCCATGGGTTCCCAGGAACAAGCATATTGTGCTTATACAGCAATGTGCTTTGCCCTGATGAGTCATCTTAAGATCTCATAAATACATGTAAATAAACTTAATAAAACAATTGCTGTCACCTAAAGTCTGTATAAATATACAGCCTCATGTGACTGCTTTTCAAGCATACAATTGTAGATGTAACCAACCATCTTATTAAATAAGAAACACAGAACCAATGCAAAGAAGCCAAGAGATCAGAGCTAAGAGCCTTACCCAGCAGCTAGCCTCTTCAGCCAAGAGACCTCTCCGAAAGAGAGCTACTTCCTGTCTGTTCGTCTTTATATAGACTTTCTGTTCTGCCTTCTCATTGGTTGTAAACCCAAACACATGACTGCCTTTTCACTGCCTGTATGTACAGCCCTCCAGGTCTTCTATGGTATTGAGATTAAAGGCATGTGTCTCCAATGTTAGTTGTATCCTTGAACACACAGAGATCTACCCAGCTCTGCCTACTAAGTGCTGGGATTAAAAGTGTGCACCACCACCACCACCACCATGCTCTTGCTATGGCTCTAATAGCTCTGAATCCTGGGCAACTTTAACATACCATTAAAATCACATTTCAGGACAAATAAAATACCACCATGTACAAGAACTAACTCAAGTTTACTACAGAACCATCTTAGGTCAACTTCATGAGTGGGATGATTTTAGCGCTTAAAATAATTTTATCGAAAGCAACAGTGGCTAAAATTACTCAAAGTTACTATATCTGTTGGTCTCTGCAGTTGGTAACACCAGTGTGAAACTTCTCTAGTGCCTTTGCCACAGGACAAAGTTGGCAATTTAAGATGTAGACAAATATAAAACCATCCATTAGTATAGGCAGGCGACAAGGAAGTTTTTAAACTTTAAAAAATATAGAATATGTGCACTAGCAAATAATCCCTCTAGTGTGACAATTCCACATGATGCCAAGTTGAGAGTTCCTCCTTCTATGAAACTCTCTAGAGCTACAGATTACAAATACCTACATTAAATCAGTTTTCTTTAAAATTCCATTTTCCAAGCTCTATCTCTTAGCTGCTATGATTCAGAGTAACTCAGATTTTGTCAAGAAAGCTATAGTAAGATCTTCTTGCAATCCTGACAAGCAGTCAAATTTGTTTACCATTCTTCCACACTTGTTGAGTTTTTGTTTTTAAATCCCCCATATGAATCTTCCCAAATGTGTGAATGGCAAAATGGATGTGAAAAAATTCCCTCAGTCTCTGCAGCCTGTGTTATGTCAGTCTCATTGGCTGACCACTTTCCTCTATAGCTCTTAAAGGAGCAGTAAGCTAACTACTGGTATTATGATAAGGCAAGCAGGAGGCCTTGGGAGGTTGGGCCAATGTGCCCCAGTAGGTGAGAGAGACATGCAGTACAGAATCCATGGAGGTCAATGTGGCATGGTGGAAAGTTACTCACCCCAGGCAAGGCATCCATGTAGAAGATTATTCTAATAGAGAGAGGGGGAAGAAAGGAAAAGAGGGAGAGAGGAAGAAAGAGAAAAGTAGGGTTAAAGGGATAGTGGACGTCTGTACACCTCATGGTGGGAAAGGGAAAAGGGGGAAGAGGAAGAAGAAAGGAGGGTCTGTCCCCAAAGGAGGCTTTATGTCAGGACAGAGGGTGGGTGCCCAAGGGGCAGGCCAGAATGCCAACACTTGGGATCTGACACTAACTTTACTATTCAGAAGAGTACATGGATATAACCACAGCACTCACAAGCTGGGA